GCTAACCTTGCTTGTTGAAAAAAATTGACGTAAAAATTTTTCCACGCACTTCACACCGAAATGCGGTTAATCACATGAAAAAGAATAAAAAACCACATCATAACCTATATTACCTGCGTCAAATCACAAAAAAATCACCACTTCTCAGAACAAAATTAATGTGTGATGTCAATTTTAATTATTTTTCACAAGTTGTTCACTTTGTTCTGCAAAAATTAACACGTCTATTCAGCTCTGTGTCTAGTCAAAAGTGAGCTAATACAATAACAATTTAATGACATGAACAACAACTGTCAAATGCGATTGCAGCGCACAAAAAATGTTGACCAAATTACGCTACTTTACCTTATATATTTCTTAAGACAGGACTTTCAAATAAAAAATATATGTACACGGTATTATACCAACATATTAGACAGTACGACGGATTGCGCGGCAGACTTTACAGGGATAATCGTAATTTAACCGATGAATGTTATGAATAATATTTTCAATAATATACAATATAGCAAATTAATTCGGTATTTAGTCCATCATGGACTAAATACCGAATCTCTCTGAGAACCCTGATCTCTCATCTCTGCATTGTGTTTATGGTCAAAGTCTGCTTTGTAATCCTAATATTATTAGTTGTACTTCAGCTTAATATGTGTCATGCAACATCTTGTACAATTATTGTATAATATTTAGCAGTAAATATCAGCATCAGTCAAATAATATATTTATTTCAGAATTTAAGAAATTGATTATAACAAAAGTGAACAGAATATTATATAAATTAGATGTCATTGATAATAGATTGAATATGCTAGAGGAGAAAATGCAATTTTCCAGGCATTCTTACGTTAGTCAAGAATGCGATATTAATTTTCCGACATCTACACTAATTGAATTAACATCCTTCGAAGAACAATTGCAGGAAATCAAATTTAAGGACGAAGTTGAAGTTGTAAAATAAATATTTCTTAGTGTTTTTATTATATTATTATAGAAATTCATGCAATTTAGAATATTATAATATTTTATAATATTATCTTCTGTTATATTCTATTCTATTATATCATTAATTCGTGAATGTCAATTTCTATTTTATACATTGTTAAAAGGAGCTAAATTAATTTATATTTAATAATCATTAATTATACAAAATCTATATTAATCTAATTCAATATTATTTTCGAAATTGTTTTTCTTTTAGCTTAACATTTTTAAAATGATTGGTAGACTTAATGCACATGCAATGATAAGAAATATCTTGAAAAAAGTAATGGTAGATACTTTAGCCCAATCTTTCAGTTGGACTGGAAAAAATAATTAGCATTGCTTTAAAGATTTAGGTCTTTCTAAAATAATCATATGTAGGTTCTTCTTAATATAATTTTATTTTGTTAATATTATAGTTTAACATTGGTTAATTTTAGTTAAAGGTTTTGCTCAAACATACATATATTTTTTTACAAAAATATATGTATAAATATTTAAAATTTATGTTAAGAAACATTTGTATATGCGTTACAGAAGCTGTTCGCGTAACACACCCAATAATAGACAATGACGTTGCAGAATACACGTCAAAATGGCTTGCTCAAGCTGTAAGAGTTCAGAGAGATAAGTATGTAAATTTTTTGTTAGAAACGTCATGATTACTCACATATTAAACAGATTAAACAAATTTCTTTGTTCAGTATTAGATTAGATTAGATTACATTCGATTGATCTGCCAACAAACAAGCATAAGCAAAAGTTGAATATTACTTTTTTTGTTCAATATGCAGAAATTTATTAATATACTACACTATCTACATATTCTTTTGTAAAATATTAAAATTTTAATTATAATTTCTTATTACACGTTAAAACAAAATAATTTTAAGCTCTGTATTGATATTTCAGAAAAAAATCAATAGAAGGAATTCAAGAAGAAAGCCAAAAAAACTGAAAAAGATATCTTATAATTCAATACCTTATATTTTCTTATCATTTTTGTACTTGTGCACTATTTTATTTTTACGTATATCTTTATTTTGTTTATTAATTTCAAACTTTATTACTGTGATGATTGATACATTGTGTTTATGTTTTTATTCGTATGTAAGAGTATAATTTTTCGTTTTATGTATCAATTAAGGTATACTTATTATATGTTAACTTTAAGTTAAGTTTAATTAATTTTTATTTTATTTTATTTTATAAAAAATGATTATATGTACATGTACATTAGGGTGGACCTTATTTTTGACTTTTGAATTTTTTTCACGACGTCCCCTAAAGTTGTTCCATTTGGTGAAAAAAAAAATTGTGTAAAAGCTGAGCTCGATCGGACAACGGGAAGACGTGGCACATCTAACTTGAAGTTTTTAAATTAATTCTCGGAACATTTTGTAAATATCAAGTTTGTTTTTTGCATTAAATAGCAATATTTCCGTAATGTGCTTCAGAGAAAGAGAGAAAAGGAGAAAAACTGAGTAAATTATGCAATTAACTCTCAATTTAAAATTCTTTTAAATTTTATTAAAAAGAGAAAAACACCAGAGTAAATTATGCAATTAACTCTCAATTTAAAATTTTTTAAAATTTTATTTCAGTATAGATTTATGATTTATATTTTTGAAATTTAGTGCATAAAAATTTTATTTCTAAAAAAAGTAATTGCAGCTTGTTTCATGAAATTGATGTGATATTGATATGGAAATTGCGAAAAAAAAAACGCTTAAAGACACGTAAACGACACAACAGAACGAGGAGTTAAGCTTATGCAGAATTTTAATAAAATTTTGTCGCAAAATGAGGAGAAAAAACAATTAATTTTTCATATCGTGTTACATTAAAGAACTCAGTATCCTAATGTCCAAAATCTACTCTTATTAAGAATTTATGAAATTACAATAGATTTAAATATTACAATGGATTGTAAAATATATAAATGCAAACAATATATTGATATCTTTATTTTCCTGCTTGCTTATAAATATAAAAATACGATATATTTTGTATACACATATATAATATATATACGATATATTTTGTTAAAGTATGTTTTAAATATACTATAGTTATTAAAAAACATACTATCATTGGTCAACATTTACTAAGAAAATCATTTAATCTTTATTCAGAATTCTTTTCATCGGATTTCCCCATTTTTTTTGAAAAAAATATTTGTTTCAACTTTAACAGGTTTGTGCCACGTCTTTTCGTTATCCGATCGAGCTCAGCTTTTACACAATTTTTTTTCTCACCAAATGGAACAACTTTAGAGGGCGTCGTGAAAAAAATTCGGAAAAAATTTTTTACCAAGTATAAATAAGGTCCACCCTAATGTACATATATGTACACATTAACATTTAATATCAAGTTTATTATAGGATAATATTAATAATGTTGCATTAACGTATATAAATTTAGCTATACAATTTATAAAAGTTTCTTTCTTAATATATATGACACAATTTATGTAACGTTTATTTCATGTAAAAATCAAATACATGGCAATAAAAAAATATAACTTTTTCGAAAATATTTTCTTTTATACTGCGTATAAAATTAGTTTAAAAATAAGAATTGTATATGTCTAAAAATGCTTAGTATACAGGGTGTCCCGTAACGCTTAATTAATATTTCAAGGTGTGAAAGAGAATGAAATTTTGAACTAAAAGTTCCTCTTTCAATTTTGACTCAGACCATTATTTACAGAGTTATTAA